AAGAAGCAGTTCCTCGTTGCAGTTCAGGCACAGTTATGAGCATGACGTCGATGAATCAGCCCATTTACAATTCTACTGTACACAAGAACATGTTAATGCCCCCCCCCCCCCCCCCCCCCAGACCTACATAATTCCCATATATACAAAAACTACTGTCAGAATATGGCATTGAGTAAATGAGACTTAAGACACTTAAACTTGATTCTAACACTTAAGAAATAAAGCCAACTGCAATAATGTGTCCAGAGGACCAAAAATCCAACCGTTCTCTGTGCTGTAGTGATTAGTCTCTTCGACATTGAATTCTGAGAGTGTGCATTCGATTGCCACATAATGATTTTTTTGCATTTGTGTATTTCCTGCCATCTTTTATTTGCGACTCTTCCAGGAGAGATTTCTTCAAAGAACTCGTAATAACACACCCAAGCATGTTCGATTCCGTACCCGATGTCCGTCATTACGATGCTTCAGTCTGCGGGTGCATTCAGGGCCGTGTTCTTTTTTGATGGCCTGTCATTTGTTTGTTTTTCGTCTCAATACCACAAGATCATAACTAAACAACATTCTCGTTTTCTTTCCCACTCCCCCCCCCCTTTCCTTTCTCTCTCTCTCTCCCTCTCTCTCTGAATTTCTCTCTCTGAATTTCTCTATTTCTATCTCTTTCCTTATTATTTTCTCTCTCTCTCTCACTTTCTCTCTCTCCGTCTCTCTCTCTGTCTCTCTCTCTCTGTCTCTCTCTCTTTCGAATTATTTCTCTATCTCTCTCTTCCTACCTCCCACACATACACTTTGTATCTTTCAATTAATCTAGCGCTCTCTCTCTCTCTCTCTCTCTCTCTCTCTCTCTCCCTCTCTCTCTCTCTCTCTCTCTGATGAACCTGCACTTCCTAACTTAGAAGACAGGCTTTTATATGATAACTATAATCTTCTCTGCTTTCAAATCCCTTGCTCGGCCAGTGCGTACAATTTTTGTGACGCTCAAAGCGCATGCCCTTTCTTCCAGATTTTCCCATAGAGATAGCACTATTTTATTACAGAATCTGTGAAAAACTAGAGTTTACATTACTATTTGATATAAATGAAAGAATTAACAACTGTGGTGAACGTGAGCAACCTTTCTTGTGATTATTGGTCGTATCCTTGACAAGTGCGCTTCAAGATACCCTCAAGCAAAGATTCCAAAACCATTCAAAAGCCAAGGATGTAGAGCTTTTTGGTTATACACTTCGGAATAAAAAGTTTTTTAAAAGCCCAAGTCTTTCTTGTTTTATCTTAAACATGTCCTAAGGGTTAGGCAACGGGACCATGTAAGCGTAAGATTGTAGGTTCGGGGATTCGACCCTCAGTTTGGTCAGACGTGTCCTTGATAAATGCACTTTACATGAATTTACTATTTTAGCCTGTTCGTTTCGGAGTTGTATGTTAAAGGGAAGGGGTGGGGGGGAGGGTACATCTAAAGGCTATCAAGCTTATTAGAGGATCAAATCTTTATCAAATGTCACCCATATAAGAAGCATAGTAAGTAGTCTTAAATTCCGCAATCAAATTTGAGACAAAAGTTTAATTGCCATTTTTAATTAATTTTTTTTCCTAAGGAAGTTTTCAAGTTTGTAAAAAAATCCGCGAAAATCCGCACCACCACAAAAAATCTATTCCATATAATACACATTCAATATACAATTTTTTAGTTTCTTCATTCTGTGAAAATTTCATGAACATTGGATGAAATGGTGGAGTTATTCAAAAAGGGTATATTGCAGAAAGAAAAAAAACGGGTGATAAAGAAAAATAGAAGATTGACTTTATGAGGAAATGGTGGGGACTAACATGCCAGGTATGTGGAAAAAAATAAGGCTTTAGGGGATCCTGATGTGATGAAGTGTCATAAAAGAGGCAGAAGAAGCTAACAATTCATATAACTGAAAATCCAAATTTTTTTGCCAAAATGTAACTTTCAATGTGCAGCCTTCCCCCCCCCCCCCACCCATTTAAACTCGGATGCTTCTTTTTTTAATAACATAATAGTGTTGATAGGGGCGTTTAAAGGGGGGGGGGGCTTCACCCCCAAAGTCAAGATTCGGCTCAAAATTATGGAATTTGAGTTGTAGGCATTTTTAGCTTCCTCAAGCACTCCTGCAACTATTTCATTGCATTAAAAAACCCAAAAAGACGTATTTTCCCCCATACCGGGCATGTTTGTCACCGCCATTTCCTCATAAAGTCAATATTTTATTTTTCTTTATCGTCCGTTTTCTCAAAACGCGACTTTTCTCTATACTTTTTTGAATAACTCCACCATTTTTTATCCAATCTTCATGAAATATTCACAGAATGAAGAGCAGATGTAATACTAAAATTTTGTCTGTTGAATTTTTTATTTTGATATATGGAATAGATTTTTGTTGGTGGTGTCTGGAGTGTGGATTTTCACGGATTTTTTTCAAACTTGATTGCTACCTCAGGAAAAAATCTTTAAAAAATGTTCTAATTCGTTTAAGAAAAAAACAACAGACGAATGTTTAAATCTAATGTTTGTTAACACGCATGCAAAAAAAACCCAATCAATTTCCATGAGCGACAAAAGTGATATTCATTACGTAAAATGTGTCAACAAAATCCAATATGGCCGCCGTATCCATGGAAACGAACTTTTTTCTCAAATTTGATTGCGGATTTTAAAACTCCTTACTATACTTGTTATATGTGTGAAATGTGGTAAAATTCAGTTCTGTATTAAGCGAGATAGCCTTCAGGTGTAGCCCCCCTCCCCCCACCCCTTTAAACCCATACCATTTCACCATTATTTAAAGCTGCAACTGATTTGTATTTTAACTCGTGGCGGTTTGTTCAAATGAGACAGGTATTGGTGTGAGTTAAGTGCCCTTTTCCGCACTGTATGAATTATCTTGTGTAGTCGAGAATGCCGAATTAGGCGCCCAACTCTTTTGTTTTAGTAAGAGTATTACGGCACTTGCATCACAGTAAGGTCATATAAGTGCCGAAGATTAGAGGTGTTGCAAGAAACGTACAACCACAAAAAGAAGGAGGGATTAGGGCAATAGACGTTTGATAGGAAAGAAGGAGTGGACAACACGCCCAGAGCACTCACCTACCAGTCTCGCGCACAACTTTGATAGAAAATATTACTGATCTTTGTTAGATTAGCAGTTGAAGTTTTGGTTTTTCTTCAATATTCTTTGTCGGCGTAAATTTTAATGTAACCCTCCACAACACAGTCTAGACCCTCTAGGAGGCGAGCTGGTTCGCGACTACGTGTCAGGGTCTGCCGTGTAGTGCTGGGCGGCAAGGTTCCCGATTATTGAAAGCTAGGAATCGAAGGAATCGACTCCGAACCCAATTACTTACTTTCTAATGACGTGATTTCTTCCGGTGGTTACCTGGTTGGCTCCAAACATCTTCCGGATTTAGGATAACCTAGATTTCGGAACACTACGAAGCATCAACTTCTATTTTTCAAAAATATATTCCAAAAAATAAAAGAAAGAAAGATTTTAATGATGAAAGTAACTGGTTACCGTTGGTTACGTAAAAAGGAGACGGAACTTTACTTCCGTAGTATTAATTGTGGGAATCGGTTCCGGAATCGACTCTTCGCCCAGCTCTACTGCCGTGGTTGAGCGGGGAATATATCATCTCAGCGGACAGACGGAGTTATTCGATGAATCACCTCCCTACGCTGGAATCAAGTTCACGACGTCTGTGGGCGACCACGAGGAGCGTCACAGATACACCCTGCAGACGCCAGTGGAGAAGTTGAAGGAGCGCCAAATAATCATACAGCTTTAGACATATACATCCGAGCGCTCATTATGACCTTATACAGCTACGACCGCCGTAAAACTCTTACAGAACCAAAAACAAAAAGAGAGAGAGATGGAGACAGAGAGAGATGAAGACAGAGAGAGAGAGAAAGAGAGAGAGGAGAGAGAGAGAGAGAGAGAGAGAGAGAGAGAGAGAGAGAGAGAGAGAGAGAGAGAGAGAGAGAGAAGGACATAAACTTGACTGATCTATGGAAAATTACTGATACGTTAATTTCAACGTATCTGCACCTCTCTTAGTCACTAAAAAGAGAACAAATAAGAGCAATAATTGTTTTTAAGTAATGGTTTAAAACAGCGAAACATTTTAACTTCAGCAAAACAACAGTCTCGCTGAAATTAAGTGCGCGAGGCTTCAAACCTTTTACTTGGCTCACACAATACACCCAATGGTGATTCTGGAAAAACGCCATCTTTGATATTAAAAGACAGGTCTTTCATTTTACTTTGCCCTGAAGATCAAAAAGTCACGTCAGCCGCCTGACTGATCAGGTGCAAACTAAAACGTTTGCAGGAAAAGTGTATTTTGTCTAAATAAGAGCAAAATGATAGGACCGCCTGTTACGTAAATTTAAATCACAAAAGCATTGTCTCTCTTCCGACTGAAGCTTTTAGATTTGTCTGTCAAAAAAAAAAAAAAAAAAACCCAAAAAAAACCTCCCAACAACCAATGCATCTGCTTTACACTTCTCTTGAAAGCGAGTGAACCCATTCAGTGCATAATTAGTAAATGTTTCACTGAATATCTCCAGTTGTATTATTTAGGTGGGATTACCAGAATCACAATCTTAATGACATGAGATTGATACTTCTCTGCGGCCAGTAGGCCTAACAATGTGGATTAGGAAACGCTTTCAAAACTCTTTCACTTCTGCAGCCTGTACACAAGTATAATTATGTAGAAATAGGGGTTGGAAAGAAAAGGGGGGGGGAGTGGAAAAGATAACACTGTTCAGCGTCTGGAGAGTCAGGGGATATGTAATGACACTTTATCAGATTAGTCCTGAAGAACCCAGGATCACCATTGACTGTGGTTCTCAGAACTTTCCGTGGGAAGACTAAGATTTGTAAAATTATTCTTATACTCAAAGACACTCAAAGAACTAAGACTTGTCCTGTGAGGGTGTTTAAACTAGTCGTAAATGTTTCACGCTCCTATTCACACAATTTAGATAGTTAAGAAGACTGAACTTAACGACGCGTACATAACAGTGCCAGCCTGCGTTGAAAGGGATACAAGCCAGCAGACCGACGGATTGGGATAGTCGATTACCACCCCCCCCCCACCCCACACACACAAGTCCCAGGAAAACGCCCCTTCTTTTGAATGTTTAAAATTTGCACTGAATAAAACAAGATCAGCATCGACGTCTGTCTGTGTACGGCCTTGGAGAAAATATCCCAAGACGCCTTTCTTCCCATTAGGTGACCATTGGGGAGTGTATAATGTCGTTCATGTTCTACGTATCCATCGACACTATTGAGATCGTTCAAGTGGCGGGTTACTTCGACCTTCCCTGTCAACGCCAGCCCGAGATGAATGAGAGACAACAAATCAGTGGACGTGGGGAGATATTAGATTAAAAACTTCTACTGAATTAAACACAAGCCTTCTGCGTACAATGTACAAGAGTTTTAACAGATGCACCACTGACGCAATGAAAAAGGCACACTGCATAACCATAGAACATCCAAGATCATAATGCTGGCAGGGAAAGGGAATAATTAACAAGCAGGTGATATTCATGCTGTGAAAGTGTGGGCTGTCATACAATTTTACCAATGATGTGTTTAAATTACTAACAAGTTGCTGAAAAGCTTGCAAAGAGAAACCTCCTGTTTACATTCCTGGCCAAGATGAACTCCCTATACTTTGTGTTACATCACACATGTTAATTAATTGGCATTGCGCAAAGTGGTGTTTTCAATGTTTGCGATAGTGTGAGCCAAACACAAATAAACTTTAAAAAAGAAACAAAACTATAAATATATAAAATATATATGTTAACAAAAATACGACCCAGAGGGCAACACACTTGGCCCACGACCGAGAGCTGCATATCCCCTCAACACCTTGTGATATTGAAAGATAGTAATAGACTCAAAAAATTCAAAGGGTAAATAAGAATAATATGCTGTATCATACAGACACTGGTAATTCGATTACACATCCCGAAATAAGAATGGGTTACCTAAGTAACAGCCTGATAACTATCCTGAATTACCCTTTACATAAAGGATCTTGGACTGTCTCCTTTGAGAAAGTGAATCATAGTTACAAAAGGTAAAAATGCACAGTCTACCATTTACACAACCAGCCTCACCGTCAGAAAAGTTTTTTGCTGACTATAGCTAAAACACTGCTTGAACTATTAGTTTATACTAATCAGATGACGCGATTTTCATAGGACTGGGGAAGCTGGAAATACAGTGAAAGCCTAAAATTTGTTTGTGGATGGTTGGTGAGTGCTCTGGTGTGGTTTGTCCTTCGTCTATAATCATCTTTGACCTTATTGTGCTGCAAGTGCCCTAAAATGTTCCTAAAAATAAAACGTAGTTACTCTCATGTAACATATCTATAACTTTCAGTACTTTTATGACCCTATAATTGTGTTGCAAGTGCCGTAGAACTTTTACTAAAACTAAACCCAACTTTGTTTCCTATTCCCCAGGACGACAAGCCAGTTCGCTTCCATGGCACGTTTTATGGAGAACATTCTGTTGCACTACAAGTGGAGCCGCGTCATGATGGTCACTACCTCGTCCCAGGTCTGGCTGGAGACAGAGGCTGAGTTGCTGGTCAGTGAGCTAACGTCATGACCAAGTCATAGAGCAATGGGGTGGGCAGCTTGAGTTAGAGCGGTATTGCTTTGGTTCCGGTTAAGTTTATAATGTGTTCTTTAGACTTGGTTGATTTGTTTAAGAAAAAGGGGAAGAGAAAGAGAGAGATAGAGAGAGAGAGAGAGAGAGAGAGAGAGAGAGAGAGAGAGAGAGAGAGAGAAAAGAAAGAGAGAGAAAGAGGAGGGGAGGAGTGATCAGAGACGTCATGAAATGTTCTTGAGATCTAAATGTCTTGTTTAATTGTAAGGTGAGGTGAGCCATTTCCTTGTGGAAATGCGCTGCATCAATGCAATTTTATTAATATTATTGTTATCATTATCAATATCATGAAAAAAATTGTTGTTATTATTATTATAATAGTATTACTCTCATTATTATTATCATTATTATGATGATGATGATGATGATGATGATGATGATGAGGATGATGATGATGATGATGATGATGATGATGATGATGATGATGATGATGATGACGATGTGCCGTATCTCCGATAATTAAGCTGTAGATCAATGTCACGTGGAATTTAGAGAGTTGGATAACCATTACTTCCTTTATTCCCACTCGTGATAAGTCGCATTTTGTGCACGCCAGATGTTCGAAACTCAGAAAAGTCCACTTCTGGTGGTTGATGAGAAAAAAAATATTGGTGGAGGGGTCCTTTTCTTTTTCCCCTTTTTTCTGTCAAATATTCACGTCCCCCATGGGAAAAAACCCCCCCAAAAGAAAGAGGGGGGCTTATTTTTGTGGCTGTTCCAGCAGAGGTCAACTCGGGGAGCTTCAAGGCCTTTTCATGTGCCATCAACGAGGAGGGGGGCCGGGGATCACAAGCCTTCTGGCGGAGAAGACCAAGATTCTGCCCCGCTTCTTTTCGTTGCCCGCTGTTCTCGTTTTTAAGTCCAAATTTGCAAGAGAGAGAGAGAGAGAGAGAGAGAGAGAGAGAGAGAGAGAGAGAGAGAGAGAGAGAGAGGGGGGGAGGGAATGAGAGAGAGAAAGAGAGAGAGAGAAAGAGAGAGAGAGAAAGAGAGAGAGAGAAAGAAAGAAAGAAAGAGAGAGAGAGAAAGAGTGAGGGAGAGAGAAAGAGAGAGGGAGAGAAAGAAAAAGAATCCCCATATGTTTCTCTTTTAATTGTATTTAAATTATGTATTTCTGTGCTATATCCAACATTTAAAACTTGAATTTCGACAAATATTTCTCGAGCATACGCAGCCGATACCACTGAATGGGAAACTGTAATTGTAATCCCATCCCACAGACACCCCCCAAAAAGTAACAATAAAATCCGAAATTTGGCCTCAGTACCCTGGAACAGCTGGCCGACGTTTTGTTGATTTTGTTGTTGTTGTGCTTGACCGTACTTCTTTACACGATAGAAAAGCTCACCTGAAAAGTGATTCCACTGTTCCTTTAACGGAGCACTTGTCAGAATAGAAATACTAAATCTAGAACTAGGGTTGGTAACATAAACAGTTTAAAAAGTCCCTGGTCTCTCCAACAAGGAGAGTGAGAAAGGAATATGTGTTCCATCCTCGGAACAGCTTAGGGGAAAAAAGAAAAGGCAATATAATATTATATTATGTTACAAAAACACTAATGGATTGAAAAAATGAAACTCTAACAGATAGATACAATCATACTTATTCATTTTCTCCTTTTGTTCCATTTTGATGTTGAATTATCATTTTGCATACTCCCTGACATTCTCTCACCCAATGACAGTCTGATATGAATAAGATCCCTCACACGGCACACAAAAAAGAACTAGAAAGATTAGAAGTGATTCATTGACTGAATCACGAAGGTGTTATTAGTTAGTAGTTATGGGCACACATTTGAATATTATGGCTGTTCCCATAATTGTCTGAAGAGAGAATCAGGCTTACTCTGCTCACCCCTTTAGCTTCAACGGCACAAAGTCTGCTACGAATATCAAGGCACCCCTGAAATAGCTGTCACAAGAGTGTGACAAACATACAAAAGAAGTAGAAAAAAATGACAATAGTAAGAATTAGGAAAGAAAAAGAAGCAGTTCCTCGTTGCAGTTCAGGCACAGTTATGAGCATGACGTCGATGAATCAGCCCATTTACAATTCTACTGTACACAAGAACATGTTAATGCCCCCCCCCCCCCCCCCCCCCAGACCTACATAATTCCCATATATACAAAAACTACTGTCAGAATATGGCATTGAGTAAATGAGACTTAAGACACTTAAACTTGATTCTAACACTTAAGAAATAAAGCCAACTGCAATAATGTGTCCAGAGGACCAAAAATCCAACCGTTCTCTGTGCTGTAGTGATTAGTCTCTTCGACATTGAATTCTGAGAGTGTGCATTCGATTGCCACATAATGATTTTTTTGCATTTGTGTATTTCCTGCCATCTTTTATTTGCGACTCTTCCAGGAGAGATTTCTTCAAAGAACTCGTAATAACACACCAAAGCATGTTCGATTCCGTACCCGATGTCCGTCATTACGATGCTTCAGTCTGCGGGTGCATTCAGGGCCGTGTTCTTTTTTGATGGCCTGTCATTTGTTTGTTTTTCGTCTCAATACCACAAGATCATAACTAAACAACATTCTCGTTTTCTTTCCCACTCCCCCCCCCCTTTCCTTTCTCTCTCTCTCTCCCTCTCTCTCTGAATTTCTCTCTCTGAATTTCTCTATTTCTATCTCTTTCCTTATTATTTTCTCTCTCTCTCTCACTTTCTCTCTCTCCGTCTCTCTCTCTGTCTCTCTCTCTCTGTCTCTCTCTCTTTCGAATTATCTCTCTATTTCTCTATTCCTACCTCCCACACATACACTTTGTATCTTTCAATTTATCTAGCGCTCTCTCTCTCTCTCTCTCTCTCTCTCTCTCTCTCTCTCTCTCTCTCTCTCTCTCTCTCTCAAACCCTCT